AAATGTGAATGCGCGCTAACTCTATGAAAAATCATCTCCATTACGAGTATTCATATTATCCTTTTTTCCCACCCGCCTTTTATTGTGTACCCGTCTCAAAATCTCCCCGGCAATCGGACCATACACGCATTTTCTCACCAACCTTATATGGGTGTGGGTGTGGGGACGCAATGCAGAGAAACAGCAGGAGGAAGCACGGTACGAACGAGGGGGTTGGGGGGGGGGCACACGAAGAAATAGGGAGCAGCTTGGAACAGCAGGTACGCCAACACAGTTGCTTCTTTTCACCACACACACACACACACACACACACACACACACACACACACACACACACACACACACACACACACACACACACACACACACACACACAGGTGCACTGACTTGTGGTAGTGTCTGCTGGCTTCTCCGTGTCCACATCACGCGAGGCGAAGCGAACGGAGAGCACACGTCCGCTGCAGGCAATGGCGACATTCGGAGGTACACGGGATGGACAAGTGAGCGAGGGAGGAAGGAAGGCGTAAGTGAAGCCACACATCCAGACAGAGAGGCAGACAGACAGACACGCAGACACACACAGACACACACGCACACGCATACTTACAAACACACCCACCCACACAGACACGCACACATACAAACATACACACACACCCACCCACACCCCACACACCCGCACACCCGCACACACACACATACACACACACACACACACATACACACACGCGCACACGCACACTGACTTTTCGAGGCCGCATGCGAGGCAGGTTGTCTCGTCGTTGCCTGTGGCGGTGCAGCATAACGCGGGCGCTTCTGTTGCGTCCTCAAACAGAACACGGCGCGTCTCCATCTCCCACGCAAACACGTGGCCCTCCCCGTCCACAGATACGCACGTGCCGTCGGGGGCAACGGATACGTCGTTGACAAAGGCGGTGTGCTGCTTGAACACGCCAATGGAGGGGCCGTCGCACGTCCACACGTGCACGGTGGCCGCGCTGGTGGCGGCGAGGATGGCGTGCATGTGCGAGCGGACGGCGTTGGTCGGGTCGTGTTGCGGTGGCAGCAGCTGCACACGTATTACCCCGACGGAGAGGTCGATGATGGAGACGGAGCCGCTTACACAGCCGGCCACAGCCTCCAGCTTCTTGCTGTTGTCGCACAGGCACCGCACAGCGCTGTCGCACGTGACCGTCTTGAGCAGCGAGCCCGTGTCTGTTGACCACGTGCGTACTGTTGCATCCCACGACCCCGTCACCGTCACGCTGCGATCGGGCCGGTGCACGCGCACGGCCTTGACCCAGTCTGTGTGGCCCAGCAGCGTGTTCTCGTGCACGCCGCGGTCGATGCTCCACACGCGTGCCGTGTTGTCTCCGCCGGCGGTGAGGACGAGGCCGTCGTACACATCCACGCTGCGCAACCACGACTCGTGGCCCTCCAGCACGTGCAGGCACGTGAACTCAAGCAGGCACCACACGCGCGCCGTGCCATCGTACGACGCAGACACAGCACGTTGCCCTGGTGGGTGCAGTTGCGTGCGTGTGTGTGTGTGTGAGTTTGTGAGTGTGTGTGTGTGTGTTTGTGTGTGAGGAGGGGGGAGGCAAAGAGTGTGCATGAGTTGAGGGTGGGTGTGACGTAACGCATGCAAGTCAGGTGTTGTATGGGTAATAGGGAGGGCATGTGTGCATGTGTGTGCATGTGTGCGCGCAGGAGTGTGTGAATGTGTGCACGTGTGCGTATGTAAGTGAGTGTATGCGCGCATGTGTGCGTATGTAAGTGTGTATATGCGGGCAGGAGTGTGTGTGTGTGTGTGTGCAGGAATGTTGCCTCGATAAGCATGCATGACCCTCTCTCCCTTCGCACAACGTCTCACGGACCTGCTGGTTCAACGACAATGTCTGCAATCTTCTCTGTGTGTCCTGTGAGGGTTGTTTTGACGGTGTTGGTGTCCATGTCCCAGACAACAATGTCACCCGTGGATGTGCCTGCGAGCGCGAGGGAATCGAGCACAGCGATGGCCACGATGCCGCCCGTCTCGCTGGCAACCAGGCCACGCCGCTGCATGGCCGTGTCCTGCACGCCAGGCAAACAAGAGGAAAGCAAAAAAAAAAAAAAAGAGTAGGCGGGCATGAAGTCAGCATGCGCGTGCCAGCATCAGCCATAAATGTGACCGCACTCAAAACACTTGAACAGCTACTCAGCACCTGCACACACACACACACACACACACACACATTCACACATTCATTCATACATACACAGGCCGCCACATGCATGCCACAGGCGCACGTGGCAACGTGCATGTTGTTGTTGCCAATCGCTTACGCTGGCGCCGGGTGGGCGAGCATCACCCATCCTCAAGCACGCCAGGCCACGAGAAAGGGAAGGAAACCACCCTGCTGCAAAGGTTCCAAGCAGCAAGGCAAGGCAAGAGGATGTGTGCGGCCTATGTGGTGCAGTGGTGTGTGGTGATGGCGATGATGGTCGGTGGTGCTCGATGTGCGCGACCACCACAACAGCTTGGATGTTGTTGCCTTCGCCACTTTTGCAAATTGCACACTTAGGGCATCTCAAATGCAACAAATACTCCATTTTCGGCACACTGCAAAGCGCAAACAGCAACGACAACCAACGAACGAACGACAAGCACAGCAAGCAAGCAAGAAACAGAACAACAAGTCGCTCAGCAACCCGCCTCAGCCACACACCCCAGCGACACACATCGACATGTCTGCAAAGGAGCCAGCCAACCCCGTCCAGCTTCTGGAGGAGGACGACGAGTTTGAGGAGTTTGCAACGGAAGGTTGGTTGCTGGCGATGATGATGATGATGTGTGTGTGTGTGTGTGGGGGGGGGGGGGCAAAGTGGTTGTCTTGTGGTTGTCTTGTGGTTGTCTTGTGGTTGTCTTGTGGTTGTCTTGTGGTTGTCTTGTGGTTGTCTTGTGGTTGTATTGTGGTTGTCTTGTGGTTGTCTTGTGGTCGTTTGTTCTGGTTGCAGTCGATTGACTGCGTTGCCGTTGGCACCATGCGTGGTGATGATTGTTGCATGGGCTCAAAGGAAGCACAGCACCTGCCGCTGTGTCCACCGATCGTCCCCTCACACACATGCACACACACGCACACATGCACATGCACACACACGCACACACGCACACACGCGCACACGCACACACATGCAGAGTGGGGCGAGTCGGAGAAGTTGCCACAGGACGCACACATCTGGGAAGACGACTGGGATGACGACAACATGGAGGACGACTTTTCAAAGCAGCTCAAGTAAGCCAGATTGCAATGCACACGAAAACCATTGCACACACACACACACACACACACATTTTCACTCGCTTCTCTCCCCCTTCTTCGTTCCTGTGTCGCGTGGCTGGGTGATGTGAACCCAATTTGCAACAAATTGTGTCTGATGTTGTCATGAGTGTTTCACACCCCTCGGTGTGGGAACACGTACACATGACACGTGCATGAGTGACCACCATATTGGTAGTTTTCAGCGTGTCAGCTGACAGCCGCACCCACCTTTCGTTTCACCTATCTCTCATCACTGTTTGTTGCACCCTGTCCACCACTGTTGTCGTCTTCATCTTCCCTTGCCCTCTTTTCCCGGCTTGCGGTCGTCGTTTGCCCGGCTTCCTTTGTCGCGCTGTTCTGCTCACACGTGCGTGCTGCATTGTTCGCAGGGAGCAACTTGCGGCGGTTCAGCAGAAGTCGTGATTGCCGTCCAACCACCCACCATCATGCTTTTCATGCATGTCAGATACACCTGTGAAGCAGGCACGCCTCGAAGTGGTGACACCCGTTGTTATGTGTACATGTGTGTTGTGTGTGTGTGTGTGTTCGTCTTTGAGTGGCTTGGTTCTCTTCTTTTATCCGTGTCCCATTGCGTACATGCGTGCAAACGAGTGCATCTCACGTCCCCACGGCATCACCAGCCGTGCGCAAATGAGTAAATGACACCCACTCCTCCACTCATCCACTCCTCCACACACACACACACACACACACACACACACACACACACACACACACACACACACACACACACACGCGCGCGCGCGCGCGCGCGCGCGGGTGCGCATACATAAGGTTCATGACAATGACAGCCACACCCACAGCCCCAGCGGCAGCCACCAAGCAAATAATCAATCAAAACGGCGGCACGGGTGTTTGGTGCGCGTGTGCAACCAGTCATGCACCACGCTCACACACAACATCACAGCGGCGTTGCTTGCATCTGTCGGTTACAGTTCAAAGAGATGCGTGTCCTTCTCAATGAGGGCCTGGTCGCCACCCTGCAGACTGCCACGTGCAGGCTTGCCCTTACGCTTGGATGGTGATGATGATGTCGATGATGACAAGGTGGTGGCGGGGGCTGCCTTCTTCTGCTTTGACTTGGTTGCTTTCGCTTTCGCTCTCGCTGTCTTCCTTGTTCGTGACGACGACGACGACGATGATGATGAGGACGGCGATGATGATGATGATGACGACGATGGCTGTGAGCTGGACGATGACAGCGGCATGTTCCCGGCAGACTGCACCGACGCCGACATTTGCCTGCAGCAGGGAGCGCGTGGGGTTGAGCGTGAGGGTGGGTAAGGTGGGGGGAGGGAGGGGAGACGGAGGACGCAAGGACAAGTGGCATGAACGCGTACAGCTGCCATAGACACAATTATGCAGACACACACAGATGAACAGATAGTCACACAGACAGACACACACACACACACAGACACACACAGACACACACAGACACACACACGCAAACAGGTGCATGTACGCACTTGAGACTTGTCTCGATGCCTGTTTTTGCGAGGGCAAAGCGCTCGTCAAACTGCTTGAGAAAGTCGTCCACGTGCAGCGTGGCTGGGGCGGGCGTCTTGTCGTTCATCGCGTGTGTGTGGACGTAGTCGTCGTGTGCTGCTGTGTTGTGTCGCGGTTGCTGGGGGTGGCGCGCCCAGTGCTCATCGCCGTCAAGCGCCAAGGACTCCTCGTCATCGTCGTCCAAGCTGTCGTCGCCCTTCCACTTGCTCTGTTTCGACTGCGGTATCAACAGCGTCTTACGCAGGTGGATGCTGTCTGTTGCAAAGAGCCGGTTCATGTGAAGGATGTGATCCACCTGTATGTATGTGTGCGTGCGTGCGTGCGTGCGTGCGTGTGTGTGCACATACATGTGCGTGTGCGTGCGTGCGTGTGCAAATGCGTGAGCGAACATCAAACGTAAACACAGTTATGGTTATGACTTGTGGTTGATGACTTGTCGCGTGCGTTTCACATGTGAGTGCACTCATGGATGCACACATGTAAAAACATTTCCAACAAGAACGCTTACGCTGCACTCTGTTGTCATCTCCCTAATGAACGTACCGGGACGTCATATTTGATGGCAAGGGATTGCAGTGAGTCTCCATCTTGGACATCGTGTTCGATGCACATGTCGGAGCGGTTGAGCACGGTTGTCGTGCCATAACTCCGCACCTTGTTCTTTGCCAACAACGCCATGGCGTGTCGTGTGAATGGGTGGATGTGTGTGGTTGGTTGCAGAAGTGCGTTTGTGTATGTACTTCTCACTCAAAGAGAATGGATGTGTATGTGTGTGTGTTTGACAGAAACGTGTCTTTGAGTGCCTTGGTTGGTTGCTTGCTTGAAGAGAAAGGGGAGGGTTGGAGGGAACGACAACGTGTGTGTGATGAG